TGGAGAGGAATGGCATTGATTTTCATCAAAATTAATCACAAGCTGTGCAAGAACTTATATCCTGAGCACACTTAACATACCTAATGCTTTTAATATTTTGATGGTGCATTTTCTGCTTTTTTTGATTCAGGGATTTTTTTGCTGTTTGTAAAATAACATTATTAGTAATGGGATGTGTAGTTCTGTCATATGAGGATTTGTAAAATTCCTGTTTATAGGTGTATTGTAGGTTCTTAAAGTGTGTTTATCCTGCTTTAGTGCTGAAGGGTTGTTATCTTTGAGGTTTGTGATGACATACTAACTCAGACCTGAGGTACCTTCTCAGTTTTGTTCATGTAACAGGTGGTGGGTGGGCTCTCTAAAACACACCATATGTTTTCCACCTTGATATTTGCATCTTCCTATGTCCTTTTTCAGCTGATCCTGTTTCTTCCTGAATGTTCTGTGGGTTGAGGCAGCTTTCTCTTTGGTTGCTCGAATGGATCACTGATCACTGGTACTCTTTCTCTCCTGTTGGCTGACTGTGCCAATCCTCTGTTTCCTTGGAGCCTCGGGAAGGGGCTTTGCTTTGTCTGGTTCAGCAGGGTTATAGCACCCTGCAGCAGCTCTGCTCTGCAGTCTCTACCCTGTCAGCTTCCTCTTTGCACTGTCCAGTGAACTGAGAAAAAAGGACAAGCAGAAAGCTTTGCTGCCTTGCTATTTCTGTCACTGTAAAGCTGATTTATGGCTGTTTGGAATTGCAGATACTGACCACTCAAAATCAAAAGGCTGCACTAGAGAGAACCCAGTTTTAACAGGTTGGTTAGAAGGGCAGCTCTGCATCAGTGGTTCTGCTATTATGAAGTTTCTGGAAGAGGTGTTAATTCTGAGATTGTTATGAAGGAAGGAGCTGCTGCTTAATTGAGAGCTGTGCTCTCCAGAGGATGTGTTCATTAATACAATTACGTGTGGGACTTAAGTCGAGGATCTGTAATGACATGAAATACCTTCCAAAGAATGCCGTCACCTGGGATTAATGTTAGGAGTCTGGAGACATGAGTTCACTGTGGTATTCTCCCAATGGTCATTGCCACACGTGATGAGAATAAGATGTCTATCCGTGTCAGTTCTGGTTTGCAGGTTTGGCTTTTAAACATCTTTTGCTGCTTACTGTAAGAATGACATTTCTCAAGTTAATGTTACTGTGTCTAAGCACATTTTTGTTTGCTTCCTTCAAGTTACGTCAGATTTTTCTCTTAAAAGGCATGACTCATGAAGGATTAGTAAATTTGCCTTTTTTTGGCTGATGTGTCCTTTGAACAGAAGCTCTTAGCCAAAGGCACTTAAAAGCACACAGGAGGAAGAGGGCAGGGTACTCTGAGTCTGCCTTTGGTATCTGGGAAGATTGCCTAAAAACAGCTGTTCTGGGCTCTTTCTTACCCAAAGAGCATTTAGAACAAACCCGGTGTAGAATCAGAGGAAAGGCAGTGAAAAACTGCATTGTGCTTGTGCTGGTCAACATCAATGCCACTTGAAGCTCTTGGTCTTAGGTCAAAGCTTTTATTTCTAAGGAAGTGAAACCAATTTGGCATACTGTGAGGCTGTTTATGGAATTAAGATATTTATAAATGAAACAGTACAAAGTATTTCTGATGGGCATTACAGTTGTGCTCCAGGTCCTGTTGTTAATCTGGATGGCAAGATTCCAAATATTGAGGAGAGCCAAAATGAAAAACAAATCCTGATTGTTTGTAGTGGTAATGTTACGGCACGCAGCAGAAAAAAAACCTTAACAGCTTGCTCCAAATCTTTTTGCAAGCAAGAAGAATTTCATTAGGTGAAACGGAACAATTTATTAGGTAAACAGTGCTTATCTTGAAAGACTAAAATATATTAATTGTTCAAAGTGAAAACTAAAGCCTCATTGAAATCTAACTTGTGGAAAAGATTGTGTGGGCTTGCTGCTGCCTTGTTGAGCATTGTTGTTGCTCTGTTCAGATCATATACATGTGTTAGGTTTATAAGAAGGCAGTAAATTGCTTTGCACAATCATGGAGCTCGGTTAAGGGGTGTACAGCAAGGAACTCCTTGCTGACGCTCATCTCAGCAGTGCCTTTCACACAGTTTGTACTGCAGAGTTTTATTAATAGAGCTTTTTCATCGGGGTTTTATACTACAGAAATCTTGTCGTAGAAACGGAAGATGGGGGAGTTGTATTGTGGCTTTGAAAGATAAAAGCAGAAGCAGAGCTTACTAATACAGGCACAGTAAACTCACCTTTACTTGTGTGAGCTTCCCCCTTTATGTCTGGTAGGTTCACATTTGTCTTGTAGTAGTCCAGACAGGGTACAGGGTGACTGTGTGTAGATGTTTCTAGCATTTCTCTCTCAAAAAATGCCCCAACAAAACAAAAAAAGAACCAAACCCAACCCTAAATATTCCATAACTTATATTTCTATAATATCAGAGCAATAAAAAAACTTGCTTTGTTATTCCTCGAATGTGAAGTTACACTTTGTGATGTTCTGCCAGATCTCAGTTTTCCAGGAAAAGGCGAAGTAGCACAAGTAGTCCTGAGCAATACTGTGCTCGGCAATTTCACTGCCGAGTGAATGTGGTCATCCAGTACAAGTGTTGTCCAGACCACTTGGGCATACATGAAAGCAAACAAGTTGAGCTGCTACTAATGAGCTCCCTGAAGATGTGTTGGGTAAACAAGGTGTTGTACATTGCCTGTGTTGGAGGTGATTTTTGCTAGAGTTATTTCTGAGGCGTAAACATCTTCAAGGCTTTGCTCCTGATGCAACTCTGATGCAAAGGGAATGGGGCAAACTAGATGTTGGAGGTTAAGGGATGTTGCAAGGTACTTTCTCAGTTTGAATTGCTGCAGCTGGAAATCGGTGTCTGTACATCAGGGTAATTACGAAGACGGACACGGAATGGTAATGCTGTCTTGGGAAGAGTGGTCTTGTACTGTTGATGTTCTGTGAGGCTGCTAAAAGTGGCCATGTCAATGTAAAGCTCTGGCACCGCGAGATCGTGTACGTGTGTTACCGTGCCTCCAATGAAACCTGGCACACTTCTGGCTTTCCCTGGGAAATTCCAGAAGACTGGAAGCATTGTTGGCTCTAGAAAATGCTAATGAAAAAGAGTTGTAAAATTACTGGTGCGTTACACAAACACAGACTGATGCTTAAAATTTTTGTAATAGAAAATGGAAGCCACTCAGTCAGGGCTTACTGAGGAGCTCATGCGGCTTGTTAGGTGTGTGTAGTCCAGGCTCCGAGTGTGTTACACATGCTGGTAAACTCAACTTGCAGTGAAACACCTTGCAGGAGGAACCTGTGGCTCTGCTCGGAGGGGTGGTACTGTGGGGAGCCATCGAGCAAATCTGCCTCCAGAGCACTGACAGTGTCAGTCAAGGCCAAGGCACTCGGCTTTTCCACACTGCCTGGGTGCTTCAGGGTTGCTCAGCTTCGTGCAGTTAAATAGGGGCTTGGAAGTGGCTTTCTGAGGTGGAACCTGAGGGGTTTTTTACCTGTGTGTTTCTGGGTTGTCAAGTTGTTGGTGTTGAGGGAGGTGAGAAGATTGGCTGGAGGTGCAGTAGCTTCCTAATAAAAAATTATTAGGAAATTCAAAGTAGTACAAAGAAAAAGTGAAATTTTACTGATCTTGCTCTAATCTTAAAATATGGAGTATCAGAATAGAGTACTGTTTCTGGGAAACACTTTTCCAGATTAAATTTTACATTCATTCTCTTGCAGAGCTGGTCTGAGTTTTGTTTTCTGTATGTTTGTTTGTTTTTTAAAAGAAACTGATAACGTTTTGTCAAATAAGGTGCTTGGAAAAAAGGAGATAAAAAACCTTGACTGGTGTGTGCAGTGGGGAGGTGGGGGGAAGGCAAACCCAAAAAAACCAACCAAAAAACAGCAACGAAAACGCACTCTTATTGACCTGTTATCCTTAGGTGCAGGTAAACATTCCAGGAGCTGGAGTTCATTCACTTGATCGACCTGTTGTTTCTTAAAGCAGTTTAGTTGTTGAATTCAATTAATGCTCTTATGTCCAGGGCATGCTGTGGGCATCTGTGGTTCTGGTAGCACCGCTGCTCTAAGCCTGCAGGTCTCTGCTTTTCCAGTTAATGTAAAGCTGTTAAATATCTAAGGAGGACAAATAAAAATAGACCTGTGACCTAGAACACTTTGTAGTCTCTTTGAATTAAGTGCATTATTGTTCGTGTAATGATCTTCAGGCAAAATAAGTACGAGGCTGTTTTTAGCTGCAGAAAGTTAATGATTAAAGCCTTGGTCTAAAATTAGAGTAACTCGACTTAAAAATTTACTGGAAGGCAGAGACCAAGACAGTCATGTTTTGTTTTTCAGCCTCGCTCCTTTAATTGCTATTGAAGTGCAGGTTGCGTGACGCTGGCGGCAGGCCAGGGCTGACCAGAGTGCAGTGACAGGGTACAGTACAGATCATTGGGATGCAGCTGGCACGGAGCGCTGCCTTCTGCTGGATGCACGCAAAAATAAATTCCTGGGAAACAGCATATTAGCGTTACGGTGTTCCTCTGGAGAGTTTGCATCCGTGTAATATTTTCGGCCTTTGCCATGTTGGTGTGAATAAACCGGTGAAATGAGAGCCCGGGCCGGCTGCTGTGAGAATTTGGGCGGGAGGAAGTGCACGCTCGGTGTTAATCCCCCGGCTGGGCGGTTGGGATCGCTGGGACCCTCCGGGAATCGCGGCGGGTGGGTTTCCCTTTAAGGAGCCGCGGCCCCGCCCCGCCCCGCGCGCGCGCCTCGCGTGGCCTCCCATTGGTCGCGGCGCGCGGGGGGGCGTGTCCGCGCGAGCCTGGCCGGCGGCGCCCGCCGCTCGCCCTCAGTCGGCCCGTGCGCAGCGCGAGCCGCTGTGTCCGTCCCACAGAGCCGGCACCGCAACAAAGCCAGCCGGGCACAGCTGCCCTCACCGCTCCGTGTGTCTGTCCCGCAGAGCCGGCACCCCAGCAATCGAGCCAGACAGGCCCAGCTGCCTTCACCGCTGTCGCCGCCTTCCGTCTAATGTGCTACAAGGATGAGCCCAGCGTTCGGAGCCATGGAAGTGGAGCACTATTCCAAGGGAGTCCTGCTGGAGCCTTTTGTCCACCAGGTTGGAGGACACTCCTGTGTCCTCCGGTTTAATGACAAGACAATCTGTAAACCCCTAATTCAGAGGGAACACCAGTTCTATGAGACTCTCCCTACAGAAATGCGTAAATTCACTCCACAGTATGAGGGTAAGTCACCAAACCTTTGAATGGGGTTGGGCTTTTTGTTGCTGTGAATGCAAGTGTGCTGTGCTCTCTGTTCTCTCTGAAATCTCTTCTGTATGGAGGAGATTTTAGGGGTTTCTTTTCATGTATTTTGATGTTGTCTGAGGCAGGCTGTGGAGATGATGCAGGGTGGAAATGCTTGCCAAGTTGGTGTTTATGCTGACTAACAGCATTAGAGTAGAGCAACTCTGCTGGTGATAGCCCATATATCTCCCTTAGCACAGGTAAGTAGCTGACAGCTTGAGAATGGTTTCATTAACTATCTGCTGCTTTTTTTGTGTGGATTTCTAAAATTTTTTTTTCCCACTTGTTTAATGTTTGTTTTCAAGGATTTGATAAGATTGGATGGCAGTGTTTTGTGTAAGCTTAGTTGTGGTCTCTCTTGTTTTTGGATTTCTCCCCTGACTTTCATTTTGATTGCACTAAATACGTGTCAGTAAGGTGTCTTATTGAATACTTGGAATGTTGTTTCTGCCACTAAGGAAATGAAAATTCATGGCATTTAGGTAGGCAAGGATCAAGTAGCCGTGATGAGGCTGAGTCAGAAGTTATGTAGGAGTGGAAATTCCAGTTCTCCTAAGAATTGCAGTAGTTAACAGGAACACTCTTTCTCTTTCCTACTTCATCAACTGCTGCCTGGTGATTAATAAATGATACGTCTGAAGCACTTTTTTAAATGGAGTTGCTTTTTAAAGCATATTGATTTTAACAACCATAATGGTGATGAAGTTTTGCATACTGTTTGTGAAAGTGGTGGAAGACTTCAGAGATGTTTCAGAGCTAATACTCCCTGCTCACTTACAGAGACTTTTTGACATGTCTAATTAACAAGTTCTGTTGGACTGCAAGAAAATATGGTCTTTGAATGATACTTCTCAAAATGTAATAGAACAACTGTACTAGTGCATGTGGCTTTCTGGAAAGTGGGGGGAGGGATTTAGGGGTCTCACTTGGTCCCTATCTGTTATTTTTTTCCAGTGTAAAGCCAAAACCATTTGCTAAGCTGGCTCCCCCTCCCTCCCCCCAAGCCCCCCTTTTTCCCCATTGTTCTTTCCTTTGTGACAGCAGGACTGTCAGAGCTTCTGCATTCCCTGTTCCAGCCACTAAAGGTCTGGGACTTGCCTGCCCAGCTCCGAAGTTCCAGCCTCTCACCGAGTCCTCTCCCATAGCTAGTGATGAGCTGCAAGAACTGTGCAGACTGATTGGTCTGAGAATAAAGAGAGGACTGAAAAACAAAATAAAACCCAATCCAGGCAATTGATACTGCTTCTCCATTAACCCCTGAAACTTGCTCATGTAGCACTCAGTGCATCTGTGAGAGCGTTCCACTCAGACCCTCAGAGCACAGTGCAGTGCTCTGGAGACTCCTGAGGGAGCGTGAGGAAAACAAATGCTTTCGAGGTTCACCATGTTTCTGTACCACAAACAGATTTGTTTTGTATTGCATTTTTGTTACGTATTTCACAAGATTGCCGCATAACCAGTATCAATAAAATATATTCCAAAAAAAAAAAAAAGAGAAGAAAATGTATAATTAAACATGATGATTCTAAGTGGAAGCTTTTGCATTAGTTTCTGTTGTAATGTGACATTTTCCTTGTTTTGGTCTACTTGCACATCTTTCCTTGCCCCTGGGGATCTAGTTACCAGATATTGTTTGGATAAGTGCTTTTTGCTTTGCTGTCATGCAAAACTTAAAAGGTTTTGGTGTAAGTTTTTTTTGTGCAGGTCACTTTTCACTGCAAGATGTTAACAAATGTTTTACATCTCACTTAGAATCAGACCAGTCAGTTTTTTTAAATTAATAAAAATTTTTCATAAGTGAAATTGTGTCCTGTTATTATTTGATTCTTACTTGACTGCCTCAGAGAAAGAAAATGACCTTCTGTATCATTGTTTTGTCAATATGATAAATTGTCTTTCGTGAGGTGTCATTTTTTGTCGAGCTCTTTTGATATTTGTTAGGTTGGCAGATGAGGTTTGGCCTGTGGCAAGATAGAAACTAAGGACCAGGGTAAGAGAAAAAATAAAGTTGCTGTATTCTTAGTGTAAAATAATGTGTTCTAAAAGGCTTGTTTGTCACTTGAGCAGTTCATAACTGTCCAGGTCCTCTCTCTCTTCAGGTGTGGTGTCGGTGAGCTTTGAAGAGGATGAAGATGGAAACTTATGTCTAATAGCATATCCACTAAATGGGGACCACGATAACTTAGAAAACTTAGATAACTCTGACTGTGAACCCAAAAGTAAGCTGTTGAGATGGACTAACAAAAAAACAATGTTGTTAGAAAATGAGAAGATATCTAAGGAATGGGTCCGGCAGCACAGGAAAGAGGAGAAAATGAAAAGGTAAGTTTGACAAGGGGAACTGGAATGCAGAGCCTTGAAGCAAAACATTTTTTGCTGCCCAGTTCCGGTCTTCAGAATTTCAGAGAGTTCTCCAGAACTCTTTCACTTTCATTTTCATTTCTTCTCCTTTCTTTTGTTTTTCCCGACCTCTTCAGTGCAGATAGACTCAGTAGTGAAACTAGTATGTCCTCAGACCGGTAGCATGTTGAATCTTCTCTTTTTTTTCTGCAGTGATCAGTTGAAACAGGTTTCCCAGTGTTATTTTTAAAACTTCAGAAAGGACAAAAAATGAGAGCCCCCAAACAAAAAAAACTTCCACCCACCTGCAAAGGCACAGTGGCTGTAAAAAAAGCCAATCAACCCCAAGCATATCTCAATGTTACTATAAATGACAAACCTTCGTAGGAATCCTGCTTTGGCCCTATTAGTGACATTTTCCCCCTCATTCATTTCTGTTAATTGTGCTCACTGTGAGCTGTGATTGCTGCGCTAGAAACAGTGACCTTAGCAAAGGATAAACCTTAAAGCACATCACTACCTCTTGCATTACTTCATAGAAGTAATTTGCACAGGTAAAGGATATATAAGTAGAATTATGACATCTTTTGTAACAATTGGCTTCGTGCTAATTTATATAGGTATGGAAGTAGCTTTATAAAGGTTGAGATATTACTAATGGGCATCTTGTCTGTTGTACAGGGAGCAAAATAAAGCTTTTGCTAGCTGTTAGTGAAGGTGAACAAGACAGCTTGTAAAGTTAAATCCACTGACAACCCCTTTCAAAGGCTTATTCTTCCACTTGACCTGTAATTTGCTGCTCTGTTCTGTTTTTCTAGTCACAAATTGGAGGAAGAATTTGAGTGGCTGAAGAAATCTGAAGTCTTGTATTATACTGTAGAGAAAAAAGGAAATGTCAGTTCTCAGTTTAAACACCATAATCCTTGGAGCATGAAATGTCACCAGCAACAATTACAGCGGATGAAGGAAAACGCAAAACACCGAAACCAATACAGTATCCTTTCCTGAAAATACCTCATAACAATGGAATGAGTAGGGCTCTGCCTTTTATTTCTTGAACACGCCAGATAAAAGTACAGGGCAGGCTTAACTGTGGTCCTGAGAGACTCTCTGTAGCTGTGATTTATTTGATGACTTTGAAGGGATTGCCAGTGCTTTCTAGAAATGGGCTTTTCCACAGCATGTTATAAAGCAGCTAGGCTGGGAAACTCAGATAACTGAATTAAAATCTACGACTTGTGGGTTAGTTAGTGGACAGGTTTTACAGCATACTGTGTTTGAGGTTTTCCACAAAAATAGTTTTCTGTCAAGAGCTTTCAGGGAATAGTTCTGTCAATTTTATTACTGTTTACATGATCTTAAAAACTAGTATTCTCTTTCTCTTTTTAGCATTTTCTTAAATACAGAAGATATTCCAATACCTGGAGTTTCCTGCTACTAGAACTCTCTTTTTAGTGAACCTTTTTGGTAAAAAAAAAAATAGCTAGGTATAAAGTGTCACGTAGGATTGGAGCATGAGAAAGGAAAACAGAAAGAAAACCAACTCCATGAAAGCTGAAGCACACTGTTTTGTGCTGTGGAACTGTAGGCAAACATTTCCACCCTGAGCACTCTATGGAAAAAAGATCTTGCTGTGTGCAGGCTTGGATGCAGCTGATACATCCTGCAAAAGTAGTAGTATCTATATACTTAGGTAAACAAATTCCTCATCACGTGTGAGGACTTTCAGTGAATGGATTACTAAAACACCTATGACTAATAAACTGTTCAACAGAGAGCATTTTCTGGCTGGTACTCTCACCATTTCACTGTAGATGATTATTCAGTTGCCTAAGAAATGTGTGATATCTTTGGAACAATCTCAGTACAGATATTTTGAAGTGGGTTTTGACTTCTGTGTTTTAGAGATGGTGTAAAAATGCTTCTCTAGTTTCAAATGATAACAGAAGCACACAATTTTCATTTCCCACAAAAAACAAACTCTCTTGCTGCACACCAAACACTGCGTAATTCAAAGTCAGCTGCCAGGTTATGTTTCTTTATAGCCCTGATTACTTTGTTTTTCACTTAATGTGGAAATTCAGTTGTCTTCTCTAAAGACCAGTACAACTGGAACTGGTGTAAAGCAGGGTGGATATCTGAGTTTATGTAACTGCAGATGTTGATAGGCTGCTATACTGGGCATGTTTTGGCTATGCCTAAAGTTAACACTGGGGCACTGTAAAATCTGAGATAACGTTTTTAAAACCTGTGTCCCTCGTTGTGAGGATTGTTCCTTAACTGATCAGAATTCATTTTGCTGGAAAACCTGACATCCCGATACGAAGTGCCGTGTGTGTTGGACCTTAAGATGGGGACGCGGCAGCACGGGGACGACGCGTCGGAAGAGAAGAAGGCAAATCAGATCCGCAAGTGCCAGCAGAGCACGTCGGCTGTGATCGGGGTGCGAGTTTGTGGCATGCAGGTGAGGGCAAAACTGGCCATGTGTGGGGCAACAGGCTTGCACCCATTTCTGTTAGTGGGGGTTTTGGCTTATGTCCTCATCCCGAGAGTTGCGGCCCTTGGGGTGCTGCGCTCCATTTCCTTCACAGAGGGGAGTGAGGCTTTTGAGGATCCTTGGTGAGTTGAAGGGGGCAGCATCTGCAGGAGCAACCTGCAGCCTGTGCTCTGCATCCAGTGTAGTCTGAGCACACACTCTCCTGCACAATATCAGCAGTTTAAAGCCACAACAAAATAACTGATTCCATTAACGTTTCAGAATAGCGTAGGGAACAGTTTAAAGGAGAGTCTGCCACTATGGGAATTTTGAATGAAGTGTGTGAAAGTTTGCTAGAATAGTAAGAAGCAATCGGTTCTGTCTCAGATTTTGAAAAGCCACAGATCTCTCACTGCTTGAAGTCTACTTGTTACAAAGTGCAAGTGAGAAGTGCTTGGTCAATGCGATAAGACTCGTGGCCAGATGAGGGGACAGTTACGTGGACTTTCACCTGAATTTTTTGTTTACTTGTTTCTGTATTCCTAGAGCAACATGTGAATGAGAAATTGGAAACAACATGTTTGTGTTCGAGGCTTTTCTGAAGCCTCTCTCCTCCCATCCAGTAGATTCCAGGAATGCTAACAGTGTTTGCTGGGACTTGTTCTGCTGCATGACTGTTGGCCTGTGTGGTGTTCAGCTCACTGTTTAACTTGGGAGAAAAACACGAGGCAGAAATGAAAGTGTGGGAGCTGCATTTCTGAGCACAGCTGGGATTTGAGCGAGGCCTGATCATTGTTCACTTTCCAGTATTGACCTGTGCTGGAAAACAAAGAGGAACTCTGAAAGCACCTGCAGTCCTTGACCCAGATGTTCAGGCATTGCTGAGCTATGGGGTATATAGACCACTGTCCTATAGGAAGGCATCCTCCTGCAGGAGCCCTTTGGACTTACTTAAATGCAGATGATTATGGGGCACAGCTTAGTTTTGTGCACAAGTGTTTGCTGTCACTCAGATCCCAGCATGCTGGCAGTCAGTTGGTACCATCCTAGGGCAGAGGCAGGTAATGAGCTGAATGAGTGGCTGTGGTACAGTTTGTAGCTTGACTTTGGAGATTTGGGCCCCAGCTTTCCTAATCTCATGTAAAGTCCTCATTCTTACATTCCTGCTGGAAAAGCTCAAATCTGAACTGAAGGAATTTTCCACTTCCTCCAAGTTCCACAGTTCTCCAAGTTCTGTTGATAGCAGTTTGTGTAACTGTGGAAGAGCAATTTTACTGAGTAGTATGTCATCCTGTAAAAGCTTTATGTAGCATGTAGGTTGGTTTTTTTTGTTGGTTTGGTTTGGTTTTTGGTTTTTTTTTTAAATTTTGTCCCCTCAAGGCTTTGAGTCAGTATCACCAGCAATTTAAACTATTCCTTTTCTCTTGTGTTTGTATATGCAGGTCTACCAGGCAGGCACTGGCCAGCTGATGTTCATGAATAAATACCACGGAAGAAAACTCTCAGTCCAAGGATTTAAAGAAGCACTTTACCAGTTCTTTCATAACGGCAAATACCTGCGCAGGGAACTCTTTGAGTCTGTTATTAAAAAACTGACTGAACTCAAGTCTGTCCTAGAGAAACAGGAGTCTTATCGCTTCTATTCGAGCTCCTTGCTGATCATTTATGATGGAAAGGAGAGGCAGGAAGTTGCTGTTGACTCGGACCCAGAGGATCTAGAGGACCTTTCAGAGGAATCTTCAGATGAGTCTGCGGGAGCCTATGCCTACAAACCAACTGCCAGTACTGTCGATGTCCGTATGATAGACTTTGCCCACACAACCTGCAAGTACTATGGAGAAGATAGTGTGGTGCATGAGGGCCAAGACACGGGCTATGTTTTTGGACTTCAGAATTTAATAGATATTATTAAAGAAATAAGAGACGAAAGCAGTGAATAAACAGTGTGAATGCACATCAGTAGAAAGCACTATTGTGACTCTTTGTATTCCAAAATTATTGGCCACTTTCTGGTGGTAGGAATCTTTACAGGCTCTGCGGGGATGGTCCTGTCAGAGTCAGACTTGTTTGGAGGGCATTTACTTATATTGGTGCTGGACCTAGCACTGGCAAAACTTGGTATCCTTATTTATTTTAACTTTCTTAAACATTCCATATTTGATTACTCAGATACCTCTGTTATCCCTGTGTGTATATGTTCCAATAAAATTCTTTTTGGTCGTTGTAAGTGATGCTTCTGTTGTTACTGGTGACTGAGGAGGAGATGAAGCTCAGATCTCTGGTGTAATGCAAAACCAGCATGTGAACAGCCAGGCTTACTTACGACTGTGTGGGACAAGCAAGGCTGTCCTGGGCCTCCCATCAAGAGTGATGAGAAAGTCCAGCAGAGGGCTGTTTTTTGGAGCACCTGCTCCTTGGAGGAGAGGCTGAGATGAAGTAAACATGCTCAGAAGGATCAAATGGTTGTAAGAGGTCTCCGGAGGTCCTTCCCAGCTGGAATGATAAGTGAGAACTTGCACTTCAATTCTCCAACCACCTATTTCTTGTTTTGGTTTTTTTTCTAACTAGATCTCATGCTGTGTAACCTATTTCTAGAAAGCTATAGACAGTCTTTAACCCACACTGAGGCCAAATCTGTAAAATTTGTCCAGGATTAGCTGCAGTGGCAGTGACTGGGGCAGAGCTGCAGGACCTGAAAGATACCCTAAGCAGCTTAAAATCTTAATTGGGACAGACGTACAGGAAGGAAGCATCAGAAAGTGAGAGGGCAGTAAGAGAAATAACAGAGTAATTCTAAACCACTGTCTCAAAATTTTAAAAGGAACATTTATTTGTTTTTAGATAAATGACTTCTCCCCTTATGAAGCTTTTATGTCGTCATGATACAGTGCAGGAGAAAACTGGGTGTGGAAGTGCTGAGGTAAGTGTGGGGATGTTCTTGTTACAGATGCCTGGGATAAGCGAGTCAGTTTGTGCAGAAGACTCAGGTGAATCATCTCCCTGGCCCAGACTTAGCCTGCAGGCGTGCTGAGGAGAGGTGGGATGTGACAGGAAGGCTGCAGAGCTGCTGGTGGAAGGTCACCCTCTTCAATTGCCTGTAGCCCTGCAGCTTCAGTTTCATATTCCCCAGGAGGTGCTATCAAGTTCTGATCAAAGTCTCTGATGGCTCTCCTGTGCTCCTTTGTACCTTTTGATGAGGTTTTTTACCTTTGCTTATACAACAAGAGTGTGGTGGCTTTTGGTTTTGTTGGGTTTTGTTTTTTTTTTTTTTTTTTTTTTTTTTTTTTTTTTTTTTTTTTTTTTTTTTTTTTTTTTTTTTTTTTTTTTTTTTTTTTTTTTTTTTTTTTTTTTTTTTTTTTTTTTTTTTTTTTTTTGTTACACAGTGTTCAGGTACAAACTGATGTCTGTGTTAAATAGCTAGTTTTACATCTTGCAGTCACCTCACTATTTGATGCCAGCACATGGGCTATTTTCTCTGGAGATGGGCTCGTCCAGTCTGAACAGGCCCTTTTCTTTCTGCTAGGTGAGTGTCCAGTGCTCGATGTGGCTGACAAGGCCCTCTGAGCACCCCTCAAGCTGCTCCTGGCAGTGGCTGCAAAAAGCCTTGGGGAGGGGAAGGATGGAGCCATTTCTTCTTGGCATTCTCAACTACAAAATGCTTTGGGCATTGATCAGCAGCGCTCCTGCCTGCTATTCCTGAGATGTGCCTGGCACAGGGAGAGGGACCGTGGCTGCAAGATGACGTTTCCCTTTCAGTTCCCCAGTTTAGGATGAGATGCCCTCTGCTAACGAGCTAATGACGAGCCTCTTGGCAGGCGCTGCAGTCGCCTATCACTGCTGCTGCTTATGAATAAGCCTGCCTGTGCAGATTCATCTGATACACACCGTTTGACTTTGAGGTCTGAAATTAGCAGGGATAAAGTCCCCCTAATGTACTTGTGTTACGTAGGAACTCTGGAGGGAATTCATAAAATCCGATGAGAACAATCGCATTTGCTCTGATGCAAGCTGCCTCCAGAACAAGTCCTCTTTGTTTTGCTGCCTGCAGACAGGGCCCAGGCTACAGGCAGGGAGCTGCCCTTGCAGAAACGCTGCCAGCAGGGTAAGCTTGGTCTAGACCTGGTCTCAGAGCAGTGCAGTGTCAGCAGCCAGACCTGGAGCATTTGGGGGTCCATATATCATATTAACAAAACCCCAGGGGGAACTGGTGCTGCTGTAGGAAGATGGAGGGACCTGCCCCTGTGGGCTCTGGCCTGTGCTGCTAAAATCCTTTTGCCAATATTGTCTGAGGATTAAGAGAGGCTTTGCCAGTGCTGCAAAGCAACAAGGTGGTTGGGAGCTTCCTGGGCTGCAGCAGTGGGGATGGGGGAGCAGTGACAGAGGAGACTTTTTTTCATTAGTTGCTTTAAAGGATATAAGAGCAAAATGTCAGGACGAAAGATGCCTTGCTTGCACCATGTCCTCGAAGGTTGAAGAGTGGGCAACCCAGATGCAAGTCCCTCTGAATGACATACTATCTTGCAAAGTTCAAGAGCAGGTTTGTTTTCCTTCCATGCTGTTCTGCACAAATCCTTCTGAGCAATTCCTTGTGTTTGTGGAAAGGCAGTTGTGTAACTGCCAGCCTGGGACATGCCAGGGTGGGAACAGGGTTCCCACGGTCCCTGCAAAAAGCCGGGCTGCCCCTCGGCCCTGTGCCTGGGCTTCTCAGAGGACAGGACTGGGATGAGCAGGGTGTGGGGCTGGGGAAGGGGTGTGTGGTCACCCTTCTGTTGAGCTGTGGTGAAGGACAGAGTGATGGAATAATGAGAGGAGAACCTGGGCTGGGGAAGAGACCCAAGGGCTTTTTTGTTTCTGTTTTTCCTCTGTTGCTGTGGCACCAGGCTGACCTTGGAGGAAGAAGCTCTGGAGATGACCCTCTGGGCCAGGGCTGGCAGCAGGGTGGTGATGAAGCAGCCTGGTCTCCATACCCTTGGGAGAGAAAACCTCCATCAGACTGGAGATCTATGCTATGAGAACCGGTGCTTCTGCCTCTGCAGAAAGCGTTTACCCTCCAGGGACGAATCCTGCCCTTGCTCTGTGTGCTCTGAACACGGCTCCCCACAGCTCTGGTGTTCCCTGGGTGGTCAGCTTCCACTGGTGCTGGCTGTGCCAGCAGGAGCACTGGGAAGGGCAGCTGGGCTGGCTTCCTGAGCCTGGGTCCTGGGGAATCCTGAGCCAGAGGCACCCCCGCAGAGCAGCCCTGCAGCTGGGTGGGGGGACAGGAGCTGGGACAGCCTGAACCCTGGCAGGGACACTCTGCTCTGCGTTGCTGCAGCCTCTGCTCCATGGAGGACAATGCTGAGCGCACGTCTCTGTTCCTCAAGGCTCCCCTGTGTCTGGTCTCCTCCCTGTCTGCTTCCTGATGCTCAGAGAGGACCCACCTTTTCCTGCCAGCCCAGCCCTAGTAAGACCATCACCCAGAGCGGCTGCAACATGCTAGGCCTGACCCTGCACCCGGGGCTTTGCAGGAGCTGGTGAGAGACAGCGAATGGCCCAGCCTGGCTGGGCCCTGGCCCCTGACACCCGCTCCTGCTTCTTCCCCACGGCCGCCCCTGTGGGATGCTGCACCAGCCCCAGGCTTGTGGCAAGGTTGCCTTATGTAAATAGGTCACTTCTAGCCCAAAACTGGGGTGGCTGCCGGGAATTGCCACGTGTCAGCTGGCCGGAGATGAAATACATTCCTGCAGCTGGCACCGGTTTCTCCAGTGAATTGAGCTCTGCTTTGATGGCAAGGCACTGGGGACTGAGGTGGGGGCTAAGCAGGGGTCTGTGGACCTGCCAGGATGTTTTGGTAGGTGGCCTCCCTGGCACTGGAGCTGGGCAGGGCAGAAGCAAAGAGGGGCAGGGGAGAGACTCTGAACCTGGAGGAGAGGGTATCTTTGTCCCTGTACTGTCCCCATCCTGTGCTGTTGCCTCTTGTGTAGCTGCTGGACTTCTTCCCCCAAGCTGGGTCCCTGCCAGCAGGGAGGGACACACAGATGTCTTTTATGGAGCAAGAACAAAATATTTCCTTGTGGCTGGGCAGTAACATCCCCAAAGGGCAGCAGCCTGATGTCATTGTGATCCCTGCCCAAGGGAGAGTTGTACACCCCATGGCCCCGGGGCTGCAAAGTGCCTCAGCCCCAGCGAGGCATAGGGCACGTCCTGCTGCCCTGAGCCTGTGGGGACACAGTGGCTCTCAGTGTGCAGGGGCGTAGGGACCCTGTGCCCTGAAGCCTCTGTGCCACCCACTGCCCCAGGGATAGAGGGTGCTGTGTGTGTCCCAGCAGCTCTACCTTCCCTGAGTCTAATGGCGTTGGGCTCAATTTGTGCAACTGGACACTAATTAATCTTCTTCTACGGTGATGCCATAGTGGGACTGGGGGCTGCTGTCTGTCCATCCCATGCAGGAATCTATCCTTGGGTTTGCACCACAGCAATGTCCCCACCAGCCAAGCTGTGACAGGCTGCATTGGCCCTGTGGAGTCTTTTCAATTTCTCTTTGAAAGGAAAGCCTCCAGGCTGCAGGGCCAGGATCTGCTCTGCTCCCCAGGCAACCCCTCGCTTTGTAGCTCTTCCCAGGCCAACACGTGCAACAGGGGAAGGACATGAGAAAGGTGGTGTTGGGCAAGGCAGCACTGGCTTGGTTGGAGACGTGAACCCAGGAGCGTCTCCTTCATCCTGGCATCCCTGCAGCTGGAAGGACACCATGGGGAGTCTGGGCATGGTGCTCCACATTGTGCTCTCACTGCCAAGCACCTTACCACAGCATGGCATTGGAGCCTGCAGAGCTGCCCCGGTGGAGGAGAGCTGGGAAGGGGCTGTGCGAGCAGGCAGAGTGTGTGGGCTGGCAAGGGGCTCATCAGGTCAGGACATGAGCAGAGCTTAATGAAGAACATGGTGCTGCTGTGTGAAAGCAAAGAGTTTGTTTTCCCAAAGCAGAGCTGCAGG